CATTCCCAACTAACAAACCCGTCCCTCCCCCCCCCCCGCTCTGAATCATCTACCACAAGTCCTACTGGTACGATCCTAAGTGCTGATGGGAACCATACAGGATACCACTGTTTCTCTCGAGCATCCAATTTCGTAAATCAAATGAGCGCACGTAAAATCCATGCAACGCCACCTCTGGATTCAGATACCACATGCTCACAAAAACTATAACCCACCCGCCCAGTTGTCATGTTGGATTGCGAGGGAAAAAATATAAAAATAGAAAAGCTACCAAGCGCCAGGAACGCCGCCTAATCAATGCAACACAGTGGGAAAGGATGGCTTGGATAGGTTGTGATGAATGCAACAAACCATTTTTTAGTTCCAATTCTACTACAACCGTGGGCCGGGCTTGATGCTGTCCACAACATCTTGTACAGAGACAAATGCACCTGCATCGCCATCCGCCCCGAGATCTTCAAGTAGCACACTGGTTTGGGCATAGAGCTTTTCAAGAGATGCTTGCGAAGATTTGCCCAGGGACGCTGTCCATGAATTAGCAACAAGACTTGGCGTAGACAGATGCTGCGCTCACAACGACACTTACCCAAAATAGCCGAGTTGAGTTCCTCTGCAACAACTACCCTGCCCTTCTTATCAAGCAGGTGGCTAACTGTTGGTTCCACAACAGGATTGGAATACGCCACCAACGCCCAAATTTCCCCAAGTGCTTTGCTGACTTCAACTCGCGGGTCTCCTGCATATGTGGCCCCCAGGGTTTGTCCGTAGCTGAGCATTTCTTGTTCCAGCCTCAGCAACTCGAACTGAGCGCCTTGCATATCGGCTTCGAAATTCGTATGCTCGTTCCAAGCCATATCGTCCCCGCCGTTGACGTCAACGTCCATGTTCTGCGAAATAGGGCTGGAGCCGGGTCTATGTCCGTTGCTCAGTTTCGAGTCAATTGCGGATCTCAGCTGTGCCGTCTTCCGGACCATTTCAATAAATTTCCGGCAACACAACTTGAAATGAACTTGTGTATTTTCTTTGAATACTTGTGGGTAGTAAACGTGTGTGTGCTTCAACGCACGGTCAATCTCACCATCAAGAATGGCTTTTCGAATCTCTACATTATGTGTTAGTACCAGCGACCAGCAAGTGGAGAGTTGTCAGCCTACTTTGCCTGTTGTTAGCGTCTTCGTCATCCTTGACGTTGATTCCGTCGACAGTGACATTAGGATCCAAGTTCAAAGCCTCTTTCTGCAACTTGATATCTTCTGCAAAAGCTCGGGCTGTTTCCACATAGCCATCATGCTGCAAGAACTGTAAAACCAGGGCCTGTATGAGGTCTGTTTCGCCCAGTCCAGGCTCAAGCCTGGAGACGTCAGTCTTTTCGATATCATCTTGGATTTTTCTCCGTTGCTCCTATCTCCCGTTTAGTAGGTGTGGTGGCATGGCGCATTGTCTGAAAACATCGCACAAGATACTCACTCTCATCATATCATCAATGTCATAAACAAAGGGCGTTTGCCCAAAATTGACCATGATATGTTCTCCTGGCTTCTTCAGACTAACAGCAGGGAAAACCTTAGTTTGGGTGACGTCGTTGACGGCCACACCTGCACATGGACTATCAGCAGAGCCACCCACACGGCATTGTCCCACGATCAAGGAGGCTTACCGATCTTGACGCCATTCTTGGTAAAAAAAGCAGTGTGGTCGCGGAAGTTGACGCCGCAGCCAATGACATCTCCTGTGCTGAACGTTGGACCAAATGGCCGTCCCGTATTGTTCCCAGTAAAGCAACGGCCGTCATCTCCGTGATACCCCCAAGAATTTTCTTCCCAACCTACTGGCCGCGACATGGTCGCACCTTTTGTGGCAAACCCAATGGCAATGGTAGTGCTACTATACTGTCAGCTTGCTCTTGCGTTGACGGATATCCAAACATGATTTCCAGGTCCACATGACTTACTCGTCGCGTTTTCCGCATAGGATGTGAACCTCGTAATAGTATATTCCACATTCTGCGGGCATGGGGTAGTCGGCTCGCACCGCAGCCGCCTCGTGATCCCTGTCTTGGTGACCTCTGGGCCCGATGAACTTCAAAGATCGCGCAGCTTCCAAAAACTCAATAGACCCCCAAGAATCACCAGGGTTCCAGCGACTCGGCAGCGGCGTCAGTTCGTCCTCCAACTTTGGCCAACTCAGTCGCTCCAGGCTCGTGCGGGGCAGTCCTGGCCCGGTACTAACTGACGAGGGATACATCCTCAGTCCGGGTTGACTGCGAGCCAATTCAGTCGCCATCTCGTGGTTGTGTTCCTTCAAAGCCTCGTTCCGAGCTTGAAGCCTGGACTTGTGCGCAGCTTCCAACTTGTGAACATAGGTGGACTCGGACAGATATGACGGGACGAAGAACGAATCGTGGTCTTTGGCAGCAGTATCTGAGCTTTCTGAATACATCGGAGCCATAAACATATCGAAGCCGCGAGAAAAGGAAGGTAAGGTGCCACTGGCCTTCCACATGGTCGCCAGATCGTTGAGGCTGGAGTCGTCCAGGTTGTTGGTATCGCGACGCGACGTCGCCGAGGCGAGGCCGGGAACAGGATCGAGCAGCAGACCACGGCTGGGACTCAAGATGGACGTGCGGGAAGGATGCGTGTAGAAACGAGAGCTGGCTCTGGAGCGATGCGGCGGTTCGGGGGTGTACGTGGCGGCGTTGCGGGAATGCGGTCGGCCAGAGCTTCCAGCTGACGAGTCTGAGTCGGAGAAACCAGATGAGCCATGCTGCTCCAGGCTAGCCATGATATACAGGTCCGGAAAGTGCGAAGGGGGTGTTCTGCGTGCCTGGAGGGTCAAGTTGGCCGGGTGGTGCGGATCGGTGGTAGTTGCCGCGATGTTGTGATGTTGTTCGACAAGGTGGTTCAAGAGTGGGCGAGCTATGCACGTAGGCGGTACCTGACCGGCTATGTTCGACCAGACGAGAGTTCGGCACCCAAGTTGGTGACCCTTGAAAGGCCAAGCTGCTTGCTTGATCGGACCAGTGTGCCTGCAAGTGTGCCACTCTACTCAAGTATGTTAGCCGACTGGCAAGATACAGAGCTGCTGAGCTTCGGCTCGGCTACGATGGAGCCCTGGTTCAAAGCGATGTGTTGGTCTCTTTCCCCAGCGGTTTTCTGTCACGGCCCGAGCGGTGATTGAAACGCTGCACAGGTTTGGAATGAAAGGTTGGTCGAGTGATACGAGGGTGTCGTCGGCAAACGCTGGGTAGATGCCAGCGCTTGGAGGATCAGACACCTGGTGATTCCATGGGTAAGTACGGAGAACGGAGTACAGGGTGCAGAGCTAAGAGTCTGGTACAGAGTACAAAGTACCAGACCGACACCTGGGCATGCTGGCACTGCCTGGCGGCACCTGAGCAGTGGGCCGCGCGCAGGCGCCAGCACTGATGACATGGCAAGTTGATCTATCTGGTGGTAGTGGGACATGGGGAACATTGAACGTTTGGAACGCTGAAGCCGCCATTAATCACTGGTGGACGCCTGGACGGCGGCACATTGGATCCACTGCCCCAGCCTCTCATGGGCTCTCCATGGTTGAATGGCCAGCGACCCGATGATGCCAAGAGACTGGACGAGAGGCCGACATGTCGTGATTATGACGGCTTCTTACGACTCTAGCATGCCCAAAATTGGCTTGTGTTTGCCTCTTGTCACCGAAATTCTTGCCGGTGCAAACATGCATAAAGGCATGCCCAACAGCGAGCGGCAGAGGAGCTGGGCACAAATGTCCGCCCTTCGTGTCTGCTCACATGTGCACGTACTCCGGCTGCAAGTGCTCCATTCCTAGTACCAGACAAGACCCTAGTGCCATGTCCAACGCCTTCCTAATAAATAACGGAGTACAGGCCATATGCGTCCTTTTGATGGAACAACCGAATGAACATAGAGCTCGACAAGTCCAAGTCGGTCCGGTAGTCTGTCTCCGCACCTTTTTATGGGTGGCTTCTACGGAGTACCGCCATGGTTGTTTGACATTATCAGGTACATGTATGGGCCTTGGTTTTCAGGGTTCGAAGCAGCCTCGATAGAAAAAGACCTGTTCAAAACACCAAACATCGAATATTGCCAGTGTTAGATTTCGCCTGGCGAAAATTAGAAGCGCCAATATGCCCTTTTTAAATTATGGCATCAGAAGCCGCATATATAATACGAACTGATTGAGACTAGTCGAGCTGCACGTCCGGAAACCCGAGCTGCGTGTTTGGGTGTTCCAGCACCAAGTCGACAGTGCGCATGAGCGTTGCCATGGGGGCAACAAAAAATTGCCTTCCGGGCAGCATGCTCCACTAATTGCCTATTTAGTCAACGCTCCACCAAATCAATCTACAGCATAACTTTCCAGGACCAGCACCAATAATGCCTTACTTTTCTACCTTCTAACTATGGGTAAGTTTTAAGGAAGGGAGAGAGAAGGTAAAAGAACAGATATTAATTTTCATAATTGTATCTCTTATTGATGGACTTATGATATGTAAATTATTTTCATGAGAGATACAGACTTAGGATATTTATACTCTAATAGGTGACTTGGTACGCCAATAGCAATGCTCTGACGCATGTGCCGCCGACCCTCGCAACACACGGCATCCACCACCGAAATCGGCCCCCGGCTCTGACTGCTTTTTTCCCCCAAGAAAAATCCGGTTCCGATCTCCATCCTCCCAAAAGGATAATCTACTCACCACCTTCTATCTCCCCTTTTCCCCAAACTCCCAATCCGCACATTCGCCAATCCCTTTCATCGCCAATCTCCCCTCCCTCCGTACACAATGGCCTCAAGAGGTTTCTCCAAGTCTCTGCGTGCAGCTCGCCAGCTGGCTGCTCCTCGTGTCCAGCAGCGCTCGTACATCGCTGCCAGACAACTGGTGCGAGCTGCTACTGCTGCTCGTCCTGTCGTCGCTATTGCTCAGCAGCAGGTTCGTGGTGTCAAGACCATCGACTTTGCCGGTCACAAGGAGGATGTTTATGGTATGTCTTTTTTTGTATCCAATTGACGCCGTTACTGACGGTTATGAGCTAACGGCTACTTTTTTGTACAGAGCGCTCCGACTGGCCTCAGGAGAAGCTCCTTGTGAGTCACCACCCGAATTGCTTAGAAGCAGGATACAATTCATCACGGAATCTTTTTGAGAGGTCAATTGGCGCATTGCAAGTGCTAACCCGCAGTAGGACTACTTCAAGAACGATACTTTGGCCCTCATCGGCTACGGCTCGCAGGGCCACGGCCAAGGTCTGAACCTCCGGGACAACGGCCTCAACGTCATCGTCGGTGTTCGCAAGAACGGCAAGTCCTGGCAGGATGCTATTCAGGATGGCTGGGTTCCTGGAAAAAACCTGTTCGAGGTTGACGATGCCATCTCACGTGGTACCATTGTTATGAACCTTCTCTCCGACGCCGCTCAGTCGGAGACGTGGCCTGCTATCAAGCCCCAGCTCGTTGAGGGCAAGGTAAGCAGCTACCATTCCTTGTAACAGAAATGAAAATAATGAATAAGGCTAACTTTTTTTTTTTCCCCCAAGACTCTCTACTTTTCTCACGGTTTCTCCCCCGTGTTCAAGGACCTCACCAAGGTCGATGTTCCCAGCAACATCGATGTCATTCTTTGCGCTCCCAAGGGCTCCGGCCGCACCGTCCGATCCCTCTTCCGTGAGGGTCGTGGTATCAACTCCTCTTTCGCCGTTTACCAGGATGTGACCGGCAAGGCCAAGGAGAAAGCCATTGCCATGGGTGTCGCCATTGGCTCTGGCTACCTGTACGAGACTACCTTTGAGAAGGAGGTCTACTCTGACTTGTACGGTGAGCGTGGCTGCCTAATGGGTGGTATTCACGGCATGTTCCTTGCCCAGTACGAGGTCCTGCGCGAGCGTGGCCACAGCCCCAGTGAGGCCTTCAACGAGACTGTAGAGGAAGCCACCCAGAGCTTGTACCCCCTGATTGGTGCCAACGGCATGGACTGGATGTTCGAGGCCTGCTCTACCACTGCCCGCCGAGGTGCCATTGACTGGACCCCCAAGTTCAAGGACGCCCTGAAGCCCGTCTTCAACAACCTGTACGACAGCGTCAGGGACGGAACCGAGACTCAGCGATCTCTGGACTACAACAGCCAGCCCGACTATCGCCAGAAGTACGAGGCTGAGATGGAAGAAATCCGAAATCTGGAGATCTGGAGAGCCGGCAAGGCTGTTCGGTAAGTTGCAAACGGATTTCTCGTTCAGATTATAGTGGCTTACTAACTCTTGTTTTGTATAGTGCTCTGCGACCCGAGAACCAGAAATAAGCTGTGTAATTATTTTTGCCGTTCGATTGTTCACACAAGGGAGTCTTTGGAAAATGGGTTGGCTTGACCCGGATTTGTACTTGTTAGATACTCAGAGGGAGGGGATCTGCTATGCAGAGCTGTGATACCGAATAAAAGTATTGACATGTCATGTTGAAACTAGGTCTTGAAATGACGCCGGGTGTATTTTGTAACTGCAATGTCCTGCCTATGCCTTTATGTGCTTTATACTTGGTGGACCCCGAAGGTCGGCGAAATGGGGCAATCAGTACGATTGCACCACTCGTGCGGTCCAAGACATGAGTGGCCCAGCGCGATGCCTCGACTGGAGCCGTCCAACCGGCTACATGTACTCCGTACGGAGTGGTCTGAATGTCAAGCTCGGATGTTGGTATTAGCCTCGACAGCCTGCCAGGTGTCATCACCTTGGCAGAGTAACTCCTCCCTTCCCAGGTACCAGAGAGAGTCCGATTTTGATGCCGGCAGTCTGCAGAACCTTCATCAAATTCTCCATCGCGCTGCGTCGCCTCCCAACTTGCAATGAGGGCGAAGCAGACTGAAATTGCCACTGCCACGCCCACAATCTCCAACTCGGCAGCACCACCTATCAACCGCACATCATCCAAAAAAACCACACCAGCATGCTCGTAAACGAAAACATCTTCACTGTAATAGGCGTGCTTCTCGTACCAGCTTCTGTTTCCCTCTGTTCTCGACTGTACCAGCATATGTCGAGCTTGACCACGAACAAGAAAACTCCTCTCGTGCAAGCCACCAATCCGCATTGGCTGACTTGGGCACGTCCGGCACGCCGAAACCGTCGAAGCGCCTGACTAAGCTTGTCCCGCCAGTCCGGACTCCCGAACAACGTTCCCACGTCGAGTCGACAAGGCCTGATTCACACATGAATCACGGATGAATCCATCTTTGTTTGCTTGCCCAAACTAGCGACTATCGGGTCCAAACCAGGCAGAACCGGTCTGCAGCTTCCCCTGGCAAAGTAGCGAGAAAATGCACTGTGCGTCCTGGGCCAACACCTCCCTTCACCAACCCACGCACCATCGGAGCGTCCAACGGTTGAAGATCATGCTGCTGGAATGCCGCATGCCACCCACTCGATGCCCTTGTAGATGCTTCCAGCATATTCGTTTAAATGTACAAGCTCGGCGTTGGCGAGGCGTTTTGTAGAGATACTTGCGGATGCCATGGCACATCTGTATATATTTGATGCTCAAGGCTGGGGGCTTCTGGTAATGAACATGTCGGAAACAAGACTATTTCCATTCAGTCGCCGATATTTACATTCAAAGCTCCCCATAGTGTGCCTGAAGATACCACAGTATATTAATCACTTCGCTGTTGACACAGACCCAATTCTAACAGTAATGTACATGCAGCACGCCAACCCCAATGTATCCTTTTAATTCTTGGGCCGTGCTTCCAATGACTTGCTCCCGAAACCTTTGAAACGCCAACGGTCCAGTACCGTGATAACCCGAAATATGTGACACGTCAACCATGTGGCCCGACGAAGACGCCTAGCCAACTCCAACCCTCGCGAAATGGGAAAATGGAAATGAGAAAAGCAAGCAGCAAGACGAAAATAGTTGAGATAAAAACAAAAGGTCACCCATTAAGATGCGGCAGATATAGCAATAGGAGCCGGTGACGAAGCATTGATGCTAGGAGCGCTGTTCATCTCGACATCCCCTCCAGCATTGCTGTTGTTGGCACTGTTTTCTTCTTGGCCATTGGCTTTATTCTCCTTGCCGCTGCTATTATCAGCAGAAGCCGAAGCCGAAGCCGCCCCAGACTCGTCATTGTCATCATCGCCAGGCTTCTTTGTCATAGGAGCAGTCCAGCGAGGAATCTCCCAAACTACACCGGTAAAACTCTTCAGCTTGAAGCCACCTCGAGCCCATCTGCGGCAAGGCTTGCCGGATCGATCGAGCGCGCGAAGGCCAGCATTGATGGCTCCCTGGTTGGCCTTGGGGCCAAGTTTGGCTGCCTGCATTCTAGCGACAGCGGCGTGATCGATTGTGCCATCCTCCCTGCAGCAATGCATACGTTAGAAATTGAGTACGGACAGTATAAAAAAACATCTGCCTGTTGCAAGGGACATGCTGGCGGCAAGACAAGACTTACAATCTGGGCTTCTTCTTGGGGCCAGGTTTTCCACGCGGCTTCGGCACTCCATCTATCGTAGTTGCAGACCTCTTTGCGCCTTTCTTTCGGCCATCTGTTGGAGGCGCCATTGACGCAGGTGCAGGAGTTCCCTCAGCTGCCGGTGTCGCAGCGTTGGAATCGGAAGCGTTGTCACCGTTCGACACGCCAGACACGGCCAAGTGGGCAGACGGAGCAGGCGAGTCCTTGGGCTCAGAAGAATCCTTTGGGGTGGGCGACTCAGCATCCGGAGATCCAGCGTGCATCACTTCGCGCAATCTAGACGCGGTAATTTTGAGAGTAACAAGCAACCCTGGCTTGCCGCCAGATTTACGCCGACCGTCAGCCTTTGGAGGCATTTTCGCTGATGTGGCCTTGGAACTGTCGGAACGTCGCGTAAGGTGCCTGAATAGTTCGTGATGTATTAGCGCATGTTCGGCTGTCGATATTTAAAATTTTCATCAGGTATATGTAGGCAACATACCTTGACCTAGGCAACTACTGTTTGACCGATTTCTGATGACAGAGGTGAGGTGTGTTTTTCCTTCTTTTTTTTAAGGAAAAAAGGCAGGCGAGGGTGAAGGAATATTCGTGGGTAGTGCTGTGGGCACGAGTCGATGACAAAGGCTACTGTGCTGTCAAGGTTTGTTCAATGGCTGTGATGCCGTATAGCGTCAATGGTGAAAGTGTGATTTAGTCGAGGCAGACCAGGGGCAGTCGTCGGGTGGCGTAGAGCTGTAGCGATGCTAGACTGCACTGTAGTCGCTGTTCTCAAGTCGCGGCGGCGGCGATGATGGTGCTGGTGATGATGGCGATGGAAAAAGGATGATGAATGGGGGAGAGTTGGGGACGGAGGCAGGGCGGAGGCACTTTCATTTTTTCTGGGGTTGTGTTGTCTCGTAGACCACGGTCTCATCCTCAATTTTCGGTGCCAGAGGCGGCGCACAAGAAATCGGGTAAAGGTTCTCTCTCTCTCGACGCTGGCGCAGGCTGGACCGTGACGCTCACCCAAGACCAACAGGCGAAGGGGGTGTGGGTTTTGGAGGTTCCTCTCCCGCCGCCGACCCTGCCTCTCTTTGCTGCCAATTGAGTGATGTTGCCTAAACTGGCTTAGCGCCAAGGGACCCAACCAAAAGGGGGGTGCATTACGTGCAAATAGATTCGGAACAAGAGGCGACATGTATTGTGCACCTAGATCCAGGTACACACTAGCACATCAAAGCTCATAGTGGCATGCGTCCAGTTACTTAGATACACCCTTCTGCAGCTAGATACCAGCATCCGTGGCTCCTTAAGTGTTGGTTGCATCCACAGGTGGGCAAGAGCAATCCTGACCGCGAATAGCATCGCGACAGCCGCACTTGAGCAAAGTACCGAGTGATGAAAGGAACAGAACAAAGGAAATTTGCTGACCCTGTAACATGGTGAAATGCACGACAAGGAGGCCGTCACGCATTATCTTTTGTGCCCAGAAACAACGCAGTGCGGTCATACAGGCTATATTTGCTTCCACTGGGTGGCTATTCGGTATTTCCGGATGTTTTGGTCTACAGGTGAAGACAAGGCCGCTCGAAACTCGGCCGTGGACCCCACTGCTATTTCTAACTACAAGGTAGGTAAATTACGAGTCCTCACAGGTGACGATTTCAAGTACCCGTCGACAAGCTTTCGCCGCTTCCATCTCCTTCCAGCCACCCTTCAGGTGCCAGGCGGCAAGGGAGCCTGAGTTGATGGCCACAGCCACTCGGCGCACGGAGGCATCACCGTCTCCTTGACGAGAACGAAGTCGGCATGCAACGCATGGTGCTATTGCGAGAGCGACACACGAACGCTTGCCCGCCTGACTCGTTCCATTCCTCAGGAACAACGTGTCGCGACCGCAATGACCCGGGGCATTTAATGCACCTTCGGAAGGACTATGGACTGTGGAAGGGGGTGGCACAAGGTTGAGCCTCATGGCTTTCTTCTAGGGCCGATCATGTTGTGAACAGCATATTTGGATGATCCTGTGCTACGCCAATCACTTCGCACCCGCTCTCGTCGTCAAGGACTCTGGCATGATTCTCTAACCGGACGAGCGTAGACACCTCAAACCATCTCTGCTATTGTCCGACCAGTGGTGGCAAGTCGCTCCCATTACGACTCCGTGACGGCGTCCGAAGAGGCGTCACGCAGCGGTTGAGCCAACAATATATTACAGGACAGAGCTTCTGTCAGATGGTTGGAAGACTGTGCCCCCAGCATCTACTGTCGACCAACACCGCGGCGCTCCAGACTCGTGAAATCGAAGCCTGATGGCTTTCGTTTGGCATAGTGAACATTCAGCTACAAGCATCAAACTGACCAAAGTGTGGCCGAGTCAGCCAGTCAGCCAGCCAAACGCCAAAGGCACTCCACAGACTTCTAGCGAATAAGCCAGAAAAAGTATAGTCAATCCAATTTTAGACGCATCCGCGGCGTTCCAGGAAATTCCTTCCTGACAGAACTGCCTCAGTTAGCTACGCGGAATACGCATGTAGTCGCCACGCAATCCCGTGCTAAGTCGTCATGGACAGATGAAAGCGCGGACACGGATAGCCCTGCAGACTTCTGAACCAAGCAAGAAAAAACTACGAGTCTACGACGATTGCTGGCTACGGGAAGATGAGCTGACCGAGGTGTGGGGTAGCTCGACTTTATGAGTAAACCAACCACATGGACGCCCCGATGAATAATACTCCAATCTCTCTGCTCGATGCTCCTGGCCGCCGACACCTCAAGTTGCTCAGTACAAGCCTAGTTACCTATAATCCATAAACAATAAACACAATGGAGAATACTGACTTCAAATCTATCATTTACACAACGTCATCAGATGGGAAAGTAGCGTACACTATTCTGAACCGGCCAAAGAATTTCAACGCAATCGACCAGGATTGTCCCGGCTGAGCTATGGGCCGCTGTTCGTCTAGCCAACTTCGATTCCAAGTTACATTGTATCATTATCAAAGGGAATGGACCTGGATTCTGTGGGGGCTACGGCTTGGGCATTTATGCCGAACATGTCCAACGTGGCCAAACCGAAGGCGGTAGGATCTAAGCGGAGGCTACGATCCCTTCGAAGACTATTTGACGAAGCGACCGAGTGTTACTCGGTACTCTTCCAAAGCCGCGAACGCACCGTAACGTAAGTTCACTGGACATCTGTCGCAGGTGGAAGTGATATCGCCCTATGTTGCGACCTGGTCGTCCTGGCGGACGAGGCTCGGATTGGCTACCCGCCGAGTCGGGTATGGGGTTGTCCTACAACAGCCATGTGGGCGCATCGAATTGGACCGGAAAAGGCGAAGAGAATGCTGTTTACGGGTGATCTCATAGATGGCAAGGAAGCTGCATCGATGGGCTTAGTTTTGATGTGTGTTCCTGGGGCTGAGTTGGAAGAGACAGTGAATCTGTTGGCGAACCGAATCAAGACTGTGCCTGTCAACCAGCTCTTGATGCACAAACAGGACATCAACAGTGTGATTGCGAGTTCTGTGCGGTCGAGCCAACGCTTGGCAACCATCTTTGATGGCATCACGCGAAATTCGCCCGAGGGCATTGTTTTCCAGAACACGGCGATGCTGTCCGGCTTCAAAATGCAGTGAAGAAGAGAGATGGACCTGGAAACAGCAAATCGTACAGAACAAAGTGGAAGAATAAGCTTTATAAGTTCACAATCCTTTTCAGCAATGGCAGATGTTCAGTAAGAAGTAGTCTTGGGTTCCATATCCGCAAGCTTCCTCTTTTGCCCTGAACGCAATTCTTGCTTGTCAGACCTGGATGAGTATAGGTGAATACTCGGACGGAAATGGGTAAAAGCACACATCGCTATTGAAGAAGAATTTCCTCTACTCGAACACCACGTTCATGGAATGCTTCAAGATGCGAAGAGCCAACCTCGGTACGGCCGATAGAGCCCTTGTTTCTATGCCAGAGTGGATGATCGTCCTCAACTTTGTAGGGGAAGTCGATATGTTGGAGATGTGGATCGCCTTTCTTCCCTAAGCCATCTTCTCTCTCAAAGCTTAAATATGGATTGTCAAATGAATCAACGAAGCTTGAACTAACAGCAGGTTGCCCCAAGATGGCTTGCCCACATGAAAAGTCGTGGATATATGTCGGCCCAACAATACGGTAATAGGTAAAATCCTCGCGTTTTCGAAGTATAATGGGATCCTTGCAACCAAGGACGGCGTATATTCGATCGCCGGGTAGGCACATGTTTGAACAAATGCCGAATAGACTATTGTTTGCTCGATAGACGGACCATCCAGGCAGCGCGTTCAACATGGCCCAGATTACAAGCATGTCCAAAAAGGCATCCTGGCCGTTGGTTCTGCCGAAATCCTCAACGACCCAGTTCTTTAGCACAGACACCACTCCCATTAACTGGGGGTCATGTTGGTGACCGGTATTTTCGAACCAGTGACCACCTAGTAATGCCTGCGTGAGTTGAATTGTCGCCCCATGTTCCCACTTCTTAGTGTCCGTACCAAGTTGTTGCTTCAACATGGTCTTTACTCGTTGCTTCAACTCGTCTTCAGCACATCCTCTTGGTATGTGGCCGACGAGATTCGACACAAGTCCGCACTTTACCGCCTTGACACCCATCACGTCCCCTTGCATCATGTTCAAGCGAGCCTCGGAGTATCCAGTAGCAAAGTTGCGCCAAAAGTGGTGGGCAGGATTCTGCCCCGGAATGTTGGGCACCCAGCTCGGGCTCGCTGTAGAGTCGCAAAATGCTAGCATATCCAGCCTCGCGTCTTCTCTATATACGCTAAACATGAATTCTTTGCAGACGTCTCTGGCGTTTCGAGAGTAATCGGGACAAATCTTGTAGCTAGAGTCAATGAGACCCAGGAGCGAGTACACTCGATCTCTGTCGTCTCTGCACTGGCAAGAGCGCGTAAAATTGAGCAACGCAACCGGATGTCTGAACAATGTGGTTCGAAAGAGAGCCACGATATTGCTAACGTCGTGGACGAAACGAGTCAAAAAGGGCGAGTTTGTGTTGCCCAAAGCAATCTTGACTTCGATACATCCCACTGCTTGCCCAAATCTCGTCCAGGTGGTCGTTGAATATCCGGCAACCACGATGGCGGATGGCTTCGCCAGAACGATTTCCTGCCTGACCCAGAGCCTTGTGAACCAAGGTCTGGCAAAGAGCTTTTTCATCGCCAGCCACTCCCTTTGTTTGTACGAGAGGGCCGAATTCAAATCTCCTAATCTACTATTCGTCCCCGGGAGAGGGGACAATTCATATCTGGCAGGATCGAAACGTACGTTGGATCCAATGTGGTCGAGTATCTTCAAAGCCACGGAGCTATCATCTTCTTCAGGTCCAAGCCAAACAATGACCCGGTCAGCTTCTCGATATATTTCGCCCATGAGAAGAACCTGAGCCGCTCGTTCGACAAGATCGTCTTGGTTTATGCAGATGGAATCACACCAAAGATTTCGAGGCTGGTCTTGTTGTCTGAAGTGCCGCAGGGCAGTTGCTAGGCAAGGTCTAATTAGTTTTTTCCTCCGATGGAAACCTTGATAGATGACAATGGTCGTCATTTCCATCTGGTCACCCCAGAAATATGATACCGCCTCATATTTTGGAATGTCGGAAATTCCCGGGAGGAACTGTTGGTGTGTCAAGACGCCGGTCAGAGGATCATCAAACTCGCCAGCTAGGAGGGTCAGTACTCTTAGCTGAGACTTTTCCAGTGGGATATATTGATAATCCAGCATGATGTATGCTGAGGAGGGAAGGCTGTGGGTTTGAGTCGAGCAGCAATTCAGGGTCTTGAGGCGCCAACGAATTGCTGAAAGGGGATGGATAGGAAGCTTGCCACAAACGAATCTGTCTCGTTATATGTATACAACTTATGACGCAGTTCCTCTCAGAAACCGTCGTTACGCGCCAGTCAACTACGCAGAGCGGAAGTAAAGCATCTGCAGACCCGACCAGCGGCCGCATAACAAGCCGGCTTGCGTGTGCCACCCCGCTCTGTACAACACATTACAAATTCGAAAGGTCATTGGTAATATATACATGAGAACACTTTTTAGTCCCTGCACGAATCCGCCACAGGTTTTCTTCTCCCTGGAGGGAGGGGGGAGACGGAGGCTTGCATGACGTCCTTGTGGTAGGGTCACCTCGTACCGAGGCCCAGTTGCACGGGCCGAGACGCCATAACTTTTATTGCAACGGAGCGAGATAGTACTCCGGGGAGAAACATTTCACTTGATGCTGAGAGAATATCTAGAATGCCCAGGATACGTTATTGCACGAACGGAGGACCTGCTTTGCGAAACGCTCAGGTTGGGCAGTTAACCGGCATCAGGTAAACTAGTGTATAGGGTTAGGGTTGTAGAGGCATATACTGAGACTGGGGTTGAGTAGCTTTTATAGATGGTCAGCTTGAGTAACTGTATTTTACGGATGGAAGATTACCGTAGTTATAACTAATATAACTTTTAACGCCTCAGATAAATAGTGATAGGGGGTGCTAGTATATTCGAGGCTAATTTTACGTATAATACTTGTGTTATGCCCTTAGTTATAGGCTCGAGTTTCCTCGTACTTATAAGGAAAATACTTGATGATAAGTATGAGCGGTAGTTTGGAAGAAGTCGTCACGCTAAATGTAGCAGTTTTAGCATATAAAACTCACCATTATGAGACGACCTGATGCAACTTAAACTCGTTCCATTCCTCCAGTCTCCTGAAGCAGCCAGTTGTAGTGTAAAATCGGACTTTCAGAGATCCAAAAATATTTTACCTGCGCCGGCGGGAGCTGAAGGGTCCTCTCCACTCTCAAGCAAGCCCTTGGCGTAATTGGAATATCCGTTTGTGCCTACTCCGTGAAGAGGCACGAGTCGTATATATTGCTGGTCAATCAAATGTTGGGGAAAGCATTGCGCCATACCTTGCTAACATGTACTTTGCCGTTTTATTTACTGCTTTTCTGGTCATTTTAATAGTCAAGTGTAGCCTAAGCTAGATGGGATCAGCTGTGGAATCGCGGGAACAGAATGAAGCGGTGAAAGAGCTATGGCCCCCAGATCTTGAACCGTTCTATGCATCAAAGAAGATTGAACGTGATCTTTTGTGTCAGAATATTCTCCACAAAAGACGTGAAGGCTTTATCTAATCCTGCCTTATGCAAGACGGTAGCACGGCCCGACTCCTCAGAGGGGTCGACTTCGACGCCTACTTCGACAAGAATGATTATAATGTCGCTGAATCTCTTATTTAAAGAAACTATGAGAGAGGTCTTTATGGACTGGTACAACCCATTTATGTCGGCGTTATAGTCTGTAATTACGCTTCTGATAACTTCGTGCCATCCAAGAAATACCAGCATCGTTTCCATCTAGTCCTGCCGGCGGGGATGAACTCCCAACGTTTCAGAACGATCTTAATACTCTCCTAGTTGAATTGCGTATAAATAATGCTCCCGCCACTTCTGCCGCGTGGTGGATATTTTACTTTGTTTTACGAATACCAACTCAGTTGTACGGGGGTTGTTGCCACTTATGTTGTGTAACAAGGCATTGGGAATGCAACCCTGTCTCGGGCATGCCAGAAGCGGGCTACCGTAGAAGGTCAAGAGTGCTGATTGACGTGTCAAAATGATCTTGCTTTTTCTCCTCTTCCCAGTAGTTCCAAGTGTGTAAAACAGATGGCGGCAAGCTTCATGTCTCTACCCGAGTTGGGTTTGGCCCGCATCTTGGGTGCTCTCTTTTTATTAATTTCCACTAGAATAGCCAAATAAGAGCTCATATCTGGTCCTTATATATAATTGCAATTAACCCGCCTAGCTGTATAAGTTAGGTGTTTTCCAAGGTGTAAATCCTCATGTCGATTCTTGCAAGAAACGCATAGATACGACATGATGTCTCAAATAGGGTCAAGGGAAATATTTTATAAGATGAAAATTAGTTCCGAATATTTTTCTAGAAAATTTCAAGCCATGACTTGGCTTCGGGGTTCCTAGAAAGAGGGATAACCACCTTTACCGACGGAGGTTCCTCCACTTTTGGTAGGTGGTACAACGGACACACTACTTCGTATCGAACGTGTTATATTTGTGTTTGAAAACGATTAGCCTAATATGCATATGGATGCCTCGGCAGTAACTCCCATCGACGCGGCCGTGGCCACGTAGCAGGGAATTTGACCAGTAATAGAGAGTGTATGCATGTCTTGAGTCGGCTGGGTTTCTTTTCAGGCTGCTAGAACCTCTCTAAAATGCTCAACAACTCTTATTGGGTTTCTTTGGGCCCACTGGGCAAGTTGATGTGTAACTACTACACCGTAGTTTTTTGGCAACTATTTCTTCCTCGTCATTTAATCTGCTTACCGCCTTTGCTGCGGTAGCTCCGCAAGTTATCATCCATGTCAAAGGGTCTATGGGTTAAGATGGTGTTGCATGTGCATGTGGTTGCGTCATGTTTCTCTCAGTTTGGGGGACGTCGGAAAGTATGCCTAACTTTTGATCGGACAAGAGCACCGATTCGATTACGTACAACAGTTGCTCCTCGCTCTGGAAAAGGTATTTGAACGCGGATTCCCGACAGTTCACTTCTCCTAGGACTCGACAACGGTCTTTTATTATCTAGATTTGTGAAACGTTTGAAAACTTTACCAAGTCCTTGCCAGATATCATGAAAACGCACATACAAGACTAGACGCACCGACATACCTCGAAAACGTTCTCTGACTCGAAGGGATAGGAGTATAGGAAACGTTTGCTTATCAATGTTCTTGATCAGTATGCATAAAATGAACGGGACAGACATTACGCGTATCTTTCCCTTTCCAGCGATCCGAAGGACGGATGGAAAGTGGTAACGTTCATGCAGGTTGCCAACGCTGTGAACTTTGTAGGTCACGAACTGGTTCGGCGATTTGCCGACTGCCGATATCAGAGTGAGGATTTCCCACGATAGCGTACATCGGCCCTGGAGATATACGCTACGTTATGTTCATGCTGGCCTGTATCAGAGCACGGCACAAGGCTTTCTTCTTGTCGCCTCGGATAGCCTCGAGGGCCAGATATCTCTCCTCAAAGCGACCAATTGTAGAGCTTCATATTTTGCAGAAGGTTATCTGGAGACAATTCTACCGTGGCTGGAAAGACACCCAATGCCCGTTATTCCAGCCGCGGCCCCTCAAGTCTGGCTTGAGTCGGAGCCCGTCTCACTGCCCTACGATCGGTCGTACGAGGATGGCAGATGGGATCCCCAGGTGGTACTACATACCGGCGGCAGCACTGGTATCCCAAAACCTGTTGTCGTGCGGCAAGAGTGTTTCACTATTTTTGATGGGCTCCGAAACGGTCCTGAATTTCATGACACTATTAGTGCTTTTGCTCACTTATTCATGGTTAAGACGCTTTCTATTCCGATGCCTGAGTTCCACGTCGCTGGCGTTGCTCTGGTGATAAACGCGGGTATCTTTTACGGCGCGACTTTGGTGTACGGAGTTGCAGATGGGCCATTGAGTGCTGACCTGGCAATTCTAAGCTTAGTACACTCTGGTGCAGATGCAGCTACTCTCCCACCGTCTGTTGTGGAAAAAATGAGCCTGACAGAGGTGGGCATTTCTGTGTTGGCTGGTCTTGATATCGTGGCATTCGGTGTAGGTGAGTCCCCAACACTGTCTTCCATCATAGGGGCATCTTTGCTCACGTACAACCTTTATCTGTAGGTAGTCTTGCCCCGGCGGCTGGTGGCATGCTCGTTGAGAGTCGTGTCGCTTTAGGTAGCTTAATTTCCTCTACCGAGTAAGTTGTCTGGTCACCTGTCTGGCCCTCTGGGGACTAATACCGGAGTAGATGTCTCCCGTATACGATCCATTTCCAAAACTGTGGCAGCATTTTATTGTAAATGAAAAAGATATGGGCGCCGAGTTCATGCCAGCTGAGGTGAATCTTGAAGCTTACGAAATGGTTCTCCGCAATGACGATGAGAATGATCCCGGACGCAAAGCGTTTTTTTACAACTTGCCTGAAAAGACTGAGTGGCGGACCGGCAACCTTTATGAGCCACACCCAACGCTGCCCAACCATTGGAGATATATTGGAAGGGCTGACAATATTATTGTATTTTCCAACTGCGAGAAGTTGAACTCAGTTACTATAGAGGAAGCGGTTCAAGGCCACAAGGCTGTGAAGGGAGCGATCGTGGTCGGGGATCAAAGGTTCCAGCCTGCGCTCAATGTAGAACCAGTCGAGATACCCGCAAACAATGTGGCAGCAGAAGCTCTCCTCCAAGACGTGTTGTCTCTTGTCCAGGAAGTAAATAAGGCGACCGTGGCTCATGGACGCATCTCACGCGACATGATTGTTCTTTAGAGTCCAGCTATTCCATTCTCGCGAGCGCCAAGGGGACTGTTCAACGAAACCCGACCATGAGAGCCTATGCGAATTTTATTAACGAACTATATCAAAAATGCGATGAGGGTTCTCATTCGCACGAGACCGTTTATTTAGATTTGACAAGCGAAAGCACTTTGACTCAATCGATTGTAGATGTCTTAGGGCACCAATTTGGTAATTCTAACGTAAATTTAGACAGTGATCTCTTCATCTCTTTAGTGTGGGCATGGACTCGTATCAACGCCAAAGGCCCCTTTCAATGGAAACAGGCTGCTATTTATCGGGTGCCCCGATAAGCCCCAAAACGCCTCAAATATCTGCTTTCCGATTGTACGAATAGCCTTAAAAGAAGGCTCGCGCTATTACCCTATTAAAGCCGGACCTTGAATAGCTGGATACCGTAGAACCCCTTAAATTAATTACTTTTTAGGTGACCTATTAGACGACCTTAATATCTATAAATAAGGGCTTATTTTCTGAACTTTAATAGCTTTAATCCTAAGGATAATTCCATTATTTAATCTGCTTTTATAGCTATT